AGATATACCACTGTCTTGGTGGAAATGTTTGCAACATATCTATTAAATGATTTGTATCCAAAATATATAAGGAAATCTTAAAACTCAATAATAAGAAAACAAAACCAATTAAAAAGTGGGCCAAAGATCTGAACAGACAATGTGTTGTATACTTACCAAATGTATTAGTGTGCTCAGACTGCTGTAACAAAATACCACAGACTGGATGGCTTAAACAACAGATATTTATATTCTCACAGTTCTGAAGGCTGGAAGTTTATGATCCAGGTGCCAGAAAATTCAGTTTCTAGTGAGAGCTCTCTTCCTGGCTTGTAGACAGTAGCCTCTCACTGTGTCCTCACATGGCCTTTCCCTTGTACGTATGTGTAGAGAGAGAAAGATCCAGCTCTCTGATGTCTTTTTCTATAAGGACAGTAGTCCTATCAGATCAGGGCCCTGCCCTTATGACATCATTTCATCCTAATTACTTTCTTATAAGTCCTATCTTCAAATACAGTCGCATTGGGGTTTAGGGCTTTAACACACTAATTTTGGGAGGACACAATTCAGTCCTTAACAACAAAGAAGATATACAGATGGCAAAAAGCATATGAAGAGATTCTCAACATGTCGTTAGGGAATTACAAATTAAAACAATAAGATACTACTACACACGTAGGAGAATGGTTAAAATCCAAAACACTGAAAACACCAAATGTTGGGGAGTATGTGGAACAAGAAGGACTCTCATTTGTTTCTGGTGGGAATGCAAAATGGTATAGCCATTTTGGGCGACAGTTGGGTGGTTTCTTACAAAGCTAAACATAATCTTCCCATATGACCCAACATTTTCACTCCTAGGTATCACCCAAATGAACTGAAAACTTTATGTCCACAAAAAACTTACACATGAATGTTTATAGCAGCTTCGTTTACAATTGCCAAACCTTGGAAGCAACCAAGATGTCCTTACGTAAGTGAATGGATAAAGAAAGCATGGTAACTCCAGACAATGGAACGTTATTCAGTGATTTAAAAAAATGAGCTATAAAGTGATGAAAGACATGCTGGAATCTTAAATGCATATTATTACTAAGTGATAGAAGCCAGTCTAAAAATGTTATATATTATATGATTCCAATTTATGACATGTTGGAAAAGATAAACTATGGAGACAGTAAAAAGATCAGTGGTTGGCAGAGTTTGGGGAGAAAGGGAGAGGGATGAACAGGTGGAGCACAGAGCATTTTTAGGGCAGTGAAAGTATTCTGTATGATACTCTAATTGTGGATATGTGACACTATGCGTTTGTCAAAACCAACAGGACTGTATAAAAAAAGAGCTATGGACTTCAGTTAATAATAATGTGTCAACATTGTTTTATCAGTTGTAACACATATAGCACACCGATGCAAGATGTTAGTAAAAAAATTAGATCACTCAATGGTAGGATCCAGGACATGGGTATATAGGTGTACACTGTGAAATTCTTTCAGCTTTGTTGTATTTTTGAAATTTTCATAATAAATCGAGGGAGCAATATTTTTAAAAATTGAGGTATGTGCCTTAGAGCACAGAGTTAAAGACACGTCTTCAGTCTACATTGTGTATAAGGAAGGAGTACTCACACTTTACCTGGGTCTTAGAGAAGGGGGAGGAGCTTGTCCAGCATAAAAGAAAGAGAAAAAATAATTCAAAAAGAGCAACAGGCTTCTGTAAAGGCGTGAATACAACGTGGTATGTTTGTGGAACTACAACCAAGTATGAAAGAGGTAGGTGAAGAGATAAGCAGGAATCAAATAATGAAAAGCCTTATTATATAAGCCTTGTCTATACAAGACTTGCATAATTCTTCATTGTGTAGGAGATAAGGAGCCAACAAATTCATTCCCAAAGCCCCAAGTTCACGTCCTGCATAATCCCCAATTGCCTGTCCTTGAGTGTTGGTGACACCTGTAACTTGCTTCTAACTAATAGAATAATGGTAGAAGTTATGAGGTCATTCCCATGATCATGTTAATATGTAACATTAACATTTTATATATATATATACATATATATCCATCTTGTTAGCATGTACAAGAGAGATTCTTCCCACTGGCTTGATGAAGTAAGCAACCATGTTGAGGAAGCCTACATGGCAAATAACTCTGTATGGGTGGCCCCTCTGCACTAAGGACAGCCTCGAAGTCCTGAGGGCAGCTTTCAGCTGACAGCCAGCAAAAAGCAAGGGTCCTGCGTCATACAACCACAAGGAAATGAATTCCGCCAACAATCTGAGTGAGCTTAGAAGCCTTGCTAGACTCCAGAAGAGGACCCAGCTAAACCATGCCTGGACTCTTGACTCACAGAAACTGTGAGATAATATATAAATGTTGTTTTAAGCTCTTCAATTTGTGGTAATGTTTTTACACAGCAATAGAAAACAAATGCAGATGTATACCATGTGCTGGCATTTCATTAGATATTGATGATATAGTGGTAAGGGAGATGAGAATCTTGCCCTCATAGATCATAAAGACTAATAGAGGAGAAGGATGTAATAAGACTTGCCATCATGAATGTCACAGTGTGGGGAGTAAAGGGAGGAAGAAAACATGTAGCAAAGGCACTAATGTAAGGGTCAGAAGATGACCTCCTTGGGGAAGTGATGTTTGAGTCTTGAAGGATGAGTAGAAGTTAAACAAATGAAGAGATGGGAAGAAATCTCTGGGAAGAAGAACAAGGACACAAAAGAGGGCAGAGCACATACAAAAGAGTATGAAGAGAGACACAGAAGAATCCTACAGAACAGACCTTTCAGGAATTGTCAGGTAAGAATCGCCTGCAAAGAAGACACAGGAGGCAATCAGAGAGTAGATCAAGGGAGCATGTCCTTGGGAGAGGCTTTTAGATGGGAGAGGCTTTATCTTGCTTAAATGGTGACAGGAAGAAGCCAATAGATGGGGGAAGTTGAAAAATGCAGAATGGTAGAGATAATCAATCAAGCAAGTCCATGAAGACGTCAGAGGAGAAGAGATCCAAATCATAGGTGGAGATAGAAGCTGTAGATAATAGGACTTTTCTTCCAGGAAGGATGGAAAAAAAACGAGTAAGAAAAAAACTAAATGTGTTTGTAGGTTGGGTGGTAGGAAGTTGAAGGAGGTGTCTTCGGATGGTTTCAACCTCCCTCTACTCCCAAAAGAGAAGTCATCTGCTGAAGGTGAGCCTGAACGTGGAAGGAGAGAGGAGTATGTTTAAAATGGCCATTATGGAGAAATATACAGACAATTGACCAGGAAAATATAGAATTGTCAGTAAGTGTTGAAGGCATAATTTAAGAGTTACAAGAAGTGATCATATAAGCATTTTATTAAGAACTCTGGGACAAATATACATGTGATTCAATAAAGGGGGCAGGGAGCATTGGGCAGTGAATCAGAGACAGGAAGCAGGAGAAACTAGGGACAATGCTGCCGGAGAAGAGAGGCAAACAGAAGGGCTTGCTTGCAGTTTGGATGGGCCAAAGATTACAAGATATAGAATAGTTAAGTCAAATGGCTTTAATGTCCAAATTTGAGAGTATGATTTTCGTGTATGTGCCAGGATAAGCTGTGGTCTTAGTCATAACCCAGCTTGTTTGCTTGTTTGTTTGGTTTTTGCTTTGGTAGGGGAGAAAAAGCATCCAGGCTCAGAGTATATCAATGTCCAAGAACCAGCCCACTTCTGCAACTTCTACAGACACATGAATTCACCACCTCCCTCATGGGATGGAACTCCAAACCTCTTTACTCTTTGCAGAGTCTTACTCTCTTGTGGCATGATTCTCTCTTCTCATCTCACTGACCCTCTCTGTTTCTCTTTCTCTTGTTAACAGATGACACCATGTCACATTGCCCCTCCCCTCCATGTAACTCTATGGCCTCTGTATATATCACTCTGGACATCTACTTTTGGTCACTGAGAATCTGCTCAATTCTGTATTTTTAGGTGTCTTGGCAGTGGGTCTGGGATGCTGTACATCTTCCTACGATGTGACAGTGTGAGAGAAGGACTGAGCATCCATCAGAGCTCTACCCAATAGCACAGAGCTCTCCTAGAGTCTGCAGCTACTACTCATAAACATAGAACTCCCCAGTTGTTATTGCCTACACGTCATCTGAGATCCAGATCTCTGCCTCCAGCTGTCTACTAAAAATGACCACCTCCATGCCCTTCAAGGATCTCAAATATAACATGCCCCATCTCTTCTAATTCATGACCATGTTCCTGATCCTTTATGCATGAAAACATTGCTTCCCTTCATATTATCTTCGAGAACCACCATCTAACCAGTTGCCTAAGTCAGAAACTTGGGCGTTATCCCAGACACTTCCCTTTGTTTTTCTACTCACAGTCAATATGCCTAAATTGTATACATTATGCTTTCTTAGTATCTCCCACTTTAGAAATTTGACAATGTTCTGTCTACCGTGGAGACTTTAATGATACCCCTCTGATGCCTACAAGATAAAAATCTAAATTTCTTTACTGAACAGGTCAGGTCTTTCACTATGGAACGCTTGCTCCATAAATAATAATATTTTATCACATTCTCTCTCCTCCTCTGCAGACAATTTATTTTCTACCCTTCAGTATTACTTATCTACATATATTTTCCAGAACATGCTACATATTTTTATGCTTTTCTGACTTTTATTTAACTATACCCTCAGTTCTACAATATTCTCCCCTAATTTTTCTGCCTCTTTGGTGATACTTCCCCTGACTCTGACTCCCAGAGTGTTTTTTCTATGCTCTCATGGAACTTATGGCTCATCTCCATTATAGCAATTGTCACAAGGTATTATAATTGGCTAGCTGATGACAAAGTATATGTCATATTCACTCATGTATCCTTAGCATATGCAGTGCCTACTGAATAGCTGGTGGTTCGATAATTTTTGAATGAATGAACAAGTGTTGGGGATGTTGCTAAATTTCTCATCATGCTTACAGTTTATATAATAAAGAGATCAGGGGTCATGACATGAGTTCTTAGCGTCATTTTTGTAAATTGAATGTCTTGTATTTGGATTCTATTCAAGAACAAGAAAGATCAAGAGAGTTGTGGATCCAGTGTAGAAATCATGAAGATATTGCACTGAGGGGATGGAAGAACAGAGGAGCCTCAGTGGGTATTAATGATTTTCAGGATCCATCTTGCATAGGAATGAACTTCTGTGAAGAATCCTTCACTTCCCAGGGTGACACTTCCTTTTGCCCAGGACAAGATTCCATGCAATCTACCACCGCAGATGGCTGGAGCAGCTGAAACTTCCTACAAGGGAGAGGGAACAGGATGTCAATAGTGCTTTGTTCTCATGGAACAAGAATAAATCCCAAGAAGAGGCAAGGTATAATGGCAGAGGCATCTAAGGTACTGGACTTTTTTCTTGAGAGGACACAACCCTCTCTTCACATCCACATAGGTCTTACCTCTCATGGTTCAAGCTTGACCCAACCTGAGTGCAAGCAGGAGGAGAAAGAACAAATGATTGTACCCAGTATCTCTCCCACTCTAAAAGGGGGGAAGGTGAATTAATCACAACCCCAAGACTGAAGACGGAGAGGAGAGGGACTTCAGGCCTTTTGGATGAGTACCATGTGATTTCCTGCAATCACCTCTCCTCCTCATGGACCGCTTGCTATCTTCCTGTCTGGGGAAAGGAAAGATACCTTAGTTTTGGATATGGTGTTCAGAGGTTGTCCCACACACATGATGTTTACTCTCATTCTTTGGCCTAGCAGATTCTGGCAGTCATCAAAGGGAAGAGAATATTGGTTTATCCAAGTCAGGATGTCAGGGTCACTAACTGCGAGAAAGAGAAGACAAATGAATTCCAAGGTTACTCTCCTAATCACATACTCTTGGGATCAGCCCCTGTTTTGTAAATACATGAATCCCTGAGACTATTCATTGCAGGTAGCCAACATTCCATCCTTCTTAGGGTCCTCATTCAGTATCTCTGTGTTAGAGCAGTAGATTCAGAGCATTAAGTCCTATCAGATCTGTAGTTCTCTCTCTACTATGCATAATTTAGAAACTTTGAAAATCCACAAGGAAATTATGAATGACCGTGAGAAGAGACAGACACAAAGCCATTGTTCCCAAGAAACCCTTATTTTTGGCACCTACTTCTTCTTCTTTACATTTAATTATAAAAGGAGAAAACTATTTTTTAAGTGTCTAAAACTGCTTTTTTAATGAACTATATTATTTAGTAATGGGTTATTTATGTGTGTGTGTATGTGTGTGTATATATATAAATATACATAGATATTTTCCCCTAAGAAGTCATATTGCTCATCTCCATCACAGCAATTGTTACTACACTGTTAACCTCAAGATGCAAGGATTCTAACCAAGGTATTATATAATTTTAATCTCTGGTAGAGAGTAGCAAGGAGGAAGGAAACAAAAAATTGACTGGAGATTGCTCAAGCTAAGACTAGTGTTACTTATGGAGCAGAATTTTCAGTATACCCAATCTAGTGTCTTAAAGCAGATTATACCAGAAAGTATCAAGTTAGAAAAGAAAGAGAGGATTTATGTTTAGTTTTAAGTTTTTATGGGAATTCAACTGAAATACATAGAATAAGCTAGGTGAAAGTTACTTGAAACAATGAATTACTAAAAAATATTAGGAGCCTTGCACCAGAGAGCTTGTAGAATTAGTCTGTCACTATGATTCTGACATGCAGAGCCTATGTGATAAAACCTTTATAGTATAGTTTTATTTTGTTTTCAAGTGGTGTATTATAAATTACTTTGGTAAAATGTGATGCAATTACTTTGAATAAGACATAAAGTCAAGGATAAAAATCATAAACCTTCATTTTTTTTCAGAAAAATTCACTTAGGTTCCGGGAATCTTGCTTCTAAATTGAGAATATAAAAGTTCCCACTTTGTATTTCTGTTTTTACAAAACATTGATTTTAAAAGTTACCACTTTTTATTTGTTTTTACAGAACAGACGGATTGTTCTGTAGCCACCAGTGCAGAGTTTAAACCTGATTAATATCCATGACAATTTGCCTCAGTGAACAAGCTTTAGCAAGCCAATCAATCAACGTCACTTTTTAAAGTCAGCCCATCAGATCCCTCTCTAATAAACATGCCTCAGAGTGCCAACCAATCAAAAACAATCTCACCTAAGTTACCATACCTTCACAGATGATGTCAACCCTCTTAAGCCTCTAAGTCTTCCAATTCCTGTACAAAAAGCTTCCTACAAACCCCATATAAACCCAGTATCTGCTCGGCTCAGTGAGACTGTGCCTTAGTTTTGCTCTTCCTTCGTATAGTGAGCAATAAATTTAGCTTTATCATTTTATTTCAAATATCAAATGGTGGTTCCATCATCCTTTGACAATACTATAGTAGCCACATGAAGTAAAGGTCACCAGGGACCAACAAATACATAAGAAAGCAACTTTCTTCATCAAGTACCCTTGATAAGACATGATCCTGCAGAGACAGATCATTTCTGCTCATACCAATTAGAGTTCAGAGGTAGAGGGATGTGTGCCTGCAACATGGGCTGTGGCAATATTTCCCAGAGGTATGTCAGGCCAGAGAGACCCCAACAGTATGTCATAATAATCAACTCCCCTATGAATCCCACTAGTCTCCACCTCTAAGTGACAACTATTGGATGAAGCAATAGTGAGAATTGTTGGATGAAGCAGTAGGTCTAAGAGTAGCACCGTCTGCATGGAAACAGATCTGGTGACAGGAGAGAAGCCTCCATCGACCACCCTCTTATCTATCAGGGTCCACTTGAATGAATCACCATTAACATAGGTTGTGTAGGGTAGGGGGTGGGAAGTATCCTCTGTTGCCTCACCATATCATGTTTTGCTTTTGTTTTTCCCACTGCTGTTCTATTAATGGCTTGCTGGACTCTCAGCAGCCACCGTTCCACAAGATGCCTTGAAAACTACCTTTAGGGTGAGAACTCCTAGCTTCTTCGACTGTATTTGAATTTGGTTCCCTGGACTCTAGTCTTGAATGTTCTAGAGATATAATAATTACTGCCTGCTCCATACATTGGTGTCAGATTGGCTGCCCTATATCAGTCTCATTGAATTTTATCATTTGGCCTCCACTTTTGGTAGTATAAGGTCCTGGCACTAATTGCTCTAGGATCTAGAACGTTACCTCGTAGCAGCTATTTCCTTCAAGTATATCCCTCCACATTTTTCCCAACTCCAAAACCTCCTCAGGATGAAGAACACAGAGTCAAACACTTACGGTTTTTATATTCATTCCAGGTCCAGGTTGGGATAAAGCAGGTATCATTAACTGCTAAGCGTTCCATAGCTATGGCTATGGTTCCCACATGGTCATTGAATGCAGCAGCCTTGGACAGTTTTATCATCATCAGGTCATTTTCCAGAGATTGTGTGTTGAATTTAGGGTAGATCACAGTCAGTGAGTAATTCCGTATCTGCTCTTTCTTATTTTTGATGCTGGGTTGATAAACTCCCAGTCGGATTTTAACACTTTGGAAGTAAGAGGGCAGGGAGATGGAAAAGAGTGGGGTCACAGAATGCCAGAAATGCAAAAAATGTCAGAAGTGACCTTCCCCAATCATCTTAATTTTATCTCTTAGACCTGAGAACTGAAGTGACCTGCCTTTGTCTGTAAAATAGTAATAACAATAGTTTACAGGATTACTGTATTAGAGTCAATGTACACAGAAAATCTGACATCATGGTATCTGCCACCTAGAACACTCTAGTTATTATATTATTATTGTTATTATTATGATTTGGATAATCTGAATGAGCAGGTAATAGAGATGGCACCACAATCCATTATTCCAGGGCTCTTTGCCTGTACTACACTGCCTCAAGCAACTCTTGAGCAGGCATATTGTAACCTTTGCTTCTGGCTAATCTTAGGCCCTTCCCAGCTGCTCTCAGGCCCATATCATTAGATTTACCATGTGCCGCCTACCTTGATCAGAGATTCACAAGACTCTTAATAGTCTATCTGGACTCCCATTTACCATTTTCTGTTATATTTCCCGGACAAATTCAAACCCACCCACTTCCATTGCTAGCAGTCCAGTCATGCAACAGACACAAGAACCATTCCCTACCAAAAACAGTTCATACATTAGATCTGGGTGAGAAAAAAAACATCAGATTTTCCAACTGAAAGAATGAATATTATTTACTCTCCATGAGAAAGAGTCTTCTAACACTTTCCTTTTAATCTCCTCTTAAACTGTCCGAATACTTACTATTTCCCCCATTGGGAAGAAGAGCCTCTCTCTTCCTGGGTCTTCTGATTCCCTTAGGATGTCATTAAAACTTGCTGGAATGCCTCATCAGACTTGTTTTTATTTAAATAGATCCCTCCCAGCTCCCAAGAGCAAACGGATACTTACGGTAAGGGGCAATGAGCAGCCGTCAGTACCCACTCAGGGTGAATGAGAGACCCCACACAAGGTTCCGGGCTGGACTGCAGATAGACCATGTAAGGAATAGTAAAATCTTCTGGTAAGTCCAACTTATCATTTTGAGAATATTTGGCTAGAACAACTCCTAAAGAATCAATGGGGTCATAGGCGGAAAGAGAGACAAAGAGTTTGAGAGGTGAGAGTTGGCTAGGGTAGTTTTTCCCAACCTAAGGTTCCCAAAGATAGTATCAAAGTCTTCACATTATTTTAAATATATTTTAAAATCATAGGGAATCGCACATATCACCCAAGCTATATACATTAAGGAAACCAACACATGTCTTTGCTTGAGATGGAAGTATATTCAAATTCTGTGAAACTAGTGCATGGGCTTATCTGAGGCTGATCAGAAACCGATCAGCAGTGCTATATATTTCAAAAATGAAAATAAGTGAAATATTACTTTAAAAACATTATTTTTAATTAACTTTTACCAACTAAGCACGGGAGTAAAAAATTACATACTGCCTGACTTTGGTGGTGAAAGGAATGAAAAGCTTGGGGTAGGGCCATAAGGCTTCCAGAGCCCTGACCCAGCCCACCTTCCTTTCCTGTGCCCACTCCTTTAAAGCCCATCTGCCCAGGGAAAGGGAAGTGTGGCTGTCAGGAAAAGTGGCAGTCTAGGAAGTTACACACTCAAGAATCTCAGGAGAGAGTAGGGCACGTATAGTGACATATCCTAACATGCTCACAGGCCTCAGAGGAACTTAGAGAGAGTGCTGATGGGTTGAACTGTGCAACAAAAGTTGTTCCTTTTGTTTCTTTCAACAGTTAATTGAAGGAAATGCCCGCCACTTCCTATCTCTTCAGTTGTGGCTAGATGCTTCTCTTTCCAGCCCTTCCCTGAACCACCCCATCTCTCCCTAGGCAGCCACAAGGCCCCAGGCTCTCACCAGCTGCACTCATGAGAGCGAAGATGAGACAGCACTTCATGGCCTGCTGTGACCTCACCAGAAGCAGATAAGCTGGATCAAACTGTAAACTGTCCCGATATTTAGTCCAAGAGTCCTCGGCAAGAACAGCTAGGGGAGAAGCATTAATTGAGGGTTGGGGGAGAAACAAGGATCTTACAGCAGTCCTCAAACTAGTCCTTGTCAAAAACCAATAATATAAGGCATAGCTGGGAGCAGTCTCTGATGTGGGTGAAAGGGAGGAAGGAGCAGACCAAGTCAAGTTCCTCGTGCCTCTTCTCTGATCCTGAAAATCTTAGAGTCATGATGTATCTGCTGACATTTTTCCTCCCCTCTCTGTGACATAGCTTTCTTTGTTGTCCCCTCCTCCCTTTGTGACTGTGTCTCCTCTCTCCCTGCCCTCGTTTGCCATCTCTCTTCTTTCAAAGAGTCCCTCTGCCATTCTCAGAGACTCATCAAACGTTGGGGTATGAAATAAATTTAACAAATCATTCCCCCGGCTCCTTCCTTCCACTTTAGCGATAAGGAAGCTGTGGTCCTCATGGAAGCTAGTGGCACAGTCAGGACTCAAAAATGAGTCCCCAGATTTCCTCTGACATGTCGAACTTTAGCTGAGCCCTGTGTTCCCAGAAAACAGTATGGGTAATTATTCCCTGGGAATTTTGTGTTCTGGGAAATGGCCAGCCACAAAGAATTGCCCTCCCCTACACAAGCTAGAAGAGACTCTCTCTTTCTCATGGCTCCCATAAGACTTGAGATGACTCCCTTGTCTACCTGTGACAAGGTCAAAAACAGACCTTTCTCTTTTTGCCTGAATTTGCTTACATGGCCAGACACAGACCCTCCGACTCCCCATTCTTTGTCTCATGAACGATTAGCTGAGCTTAGAACTGTTTTTCCCCTGAAACTAGCTAAACACAGAGATAAACACTTCTGTCCAGCTACCTGGTTGAGAATTCTCCTGATTGCAAAACAGCCTCAACTGTGAATCTCCCCACCTGTAACTTGTGTGTTTCTCCCTATAAAAGTCTAGGGCAAAACCATCCTGCTGAGACACTGTTTCTTCAGATCTGGGATGTTCTTCTTATTGCAATAGTCTGAATAAAATCAATCTCCTTACCTGTTCAGTTTTTGTCTTTGACACTTATTACTCTTTCCAATGCACCACACTCTTTCTTTTTATAAGTTAGCCATACATGATAACTTTCTGACTGAGATATGTAATAGTGGGTTCAGTCAGGCATATTATATTGGTCTATAGTTTTCTTTACTTGTAGGGTCCTTCTCTGGCTTTGGTATAAGGCCAAAGCTGATCTCATAGAATGAGTTTAGAAGTGTTCCTTCCTCTTCAATTTTTTTTGGAAAAGTTTGAGAAGGATTGGCATTAATTGTTTAAATGTTTGGTAGAATTCACCAGTGAAGCCATCTTGTCCTGGCTTTTCTGTGTTGGGAGGTTCTTGATTACTGATTCAATCTCTTTACTCATTATTGGTCTGTTCAAATTTTCTATTTTTAAAGTGCTTGGAACAGTGAGTTCTAAGGGCAAACAGTAAATGCTATACAAATGCTTGTTAAATAAAATAATTATTACCTTAAGATCCCCATATTTTCCAGGCTTCTGGGGCTGCCTTTTTATCTTAATGTCTAAATATTGTTGTGAAGTCTTTAAATCTTTGAAACACTTCCATGTTTTAATGTAGCAGTGAAGAGCATGGATTGGAGTCAAGCTTCTAGGGTTCAATTCCTGGCTTCAGGGCTTACTAGCTGCCTTATCCTGAGAAAAACAGTTACCCTCTTTAAGCTTCAATATTCTAAGCTATAAAACGGGAGGAATATTAGTACCTACCTCACAGGATAGTTGTGAGGATTAAATATTATTTAAAAGCACATAAGCATAGTGTGTGGCACAGAAAATACTTAATAAATACTAGTTATGATGATTATTACACTTTTGGACCTCTGCAAAAGTGAGAAATGAGTCCTGAGTACTAAGAAGGAGCAAACCTTCAGTGTGTTCCTGGTCCATGGAATTGTGTATTTTGGCTCCAGCACGGTCCTGGGACATGATTCCTCCTGAAGTCAGGGATTCAGAATTATTGAGCACCTGTGGGTTTAAGGTCTCCCAGGCCAATACCAATATCTCTCTACTGAGATAAATTACTACCCCTTCCAGTTTCAACCATGTCTCACTTGTGACATCCGCTGACAAATATGAGACTCTGAAAAGATGCGGGAGGATGAGGCTGGAGCAGATCAGTAGTCCTAACCTGCTCTGTGCTCTACTCAGCTTCAGCGAGCTTCCTTCTTGGAGACAAGTGTGGATAAGGAGAGTTTTGTAAGGTGGTAAGGACTAAAACTAAATTTTATAAACTAAACAGCTTGGGAATTTCATTAAAATCTAACTTTATTTTTATTTTATATCTGTCACATGTTTGTTGAGAAAAATACAAAAGAATAACAACAGAAATATTGAAACAACAACAATAAAAACTCACTAATTACAACTACATTTAGAGTTGTCCACTATGAGCATATCAAGCATTGCAAAACTATCTTTTTGCTCTGCTCATTCTCTATACTTTCCCATCCCACAAAAAAGTTAATAATTCTTGATGAGGTTTTTTTTTTAACAGCAGTTTTAGATTCATAGCAAAAATGAGAGGAAGGTACAGAGATTTCTCATATACCTCCTGCCCCCAAACAGGCATAGCCTCTCCCATTGTCAACATTCCCCACCAGAGTGGTACATTTGTTACACTCAATGAACCTACATAGACACATTTTTATCACCCAAAGTCCACAGTATACCTTAGGGTTCACTCTTGGTGTTGTATATTCTATGGGTTTGGACAAATGTATAATGACATATTTCTATCATTATAGTGCCATACAGAGTATTTTAACTGCCCTAAAAATCCTCTGGGCTCTGCCTATTCATCCCCCCTATCCCCTCCCAACCCCTGGAAACCACTGATCTTTTTACTGCCTCCGTAGTTTTGCCTTTTTCAGAATGTCATATAGTTGACGTCATACGGTATGCAGTCTTTTCAGATAGGCTTCTTTCACTTAGTAATATGTATTTAAGGTTCCTCCATGTCTTTCCATCACTTGTTAGCTTATTTCTTTTTAGTGTTGTATAGTATTGCATTGTCAGGATGGACCACGGTTTGTCCTATGGAAGGACATCTTGGTTGCTTCCAAGTTTTGGCAATTATAAATCAAGCGACTATAAACATCCAAGTGCAGGTTTTTGTGTGGACATAAGTTTTCAGCTCTTTTGGGTAAATATCAAGGAGTATGATTGCTGGATCATATGGTTTAGGTGGATTCCATAGCTTAGATGGAGTATAATAAAAAAAATGTCTACTCAGGATGAATGAATCTCTAAGACTAAATAAACACTTTTGTATTTGTATCCTTTCAACAACACAAAGACTCTTAATTGACTTTTAAAAGTCTAAAAAAGACTAAAATAATACTAAGATAGTAAATATCTTTATTTTTTAAAGACCTTTTAAATTTTGATTTCAATACTAAAGTTACTTGCTATAAAAGATAAAAGATTAGAATAGTTTGCATTTAAATAATAAATTAAATAAGATTTCTAGGGAAAAAGAGGCTTCTATTTGTTTTATTAAAGCAAATTTTCTTAGATAAATTCATTTTGAGCATATGTTGAAATTCTTTGCTTGTTAATCGGAAAACTAACAACTAGATTATAGAGTATATCAATAAAGCAAAGTTACATCTACCCAGCTTATATATCCTATAAGAAAAAATATATTTACATAAGTAGCTAGGCCTCTAAGTGCGGATAGTGCTTTATTTTACATAGCTGCTAAAAGTCAAAGCATGAAGTTGACAGTTGAGAGCCATCTTCTCGGAGGATTCAGGACCAAGTGATAAGTAAATTTATCTGTTACTATAATTAGACATGGCAAGCAAAAGAACGTTTGTCTCTATGCAGTTGTTTCCAATCTCAGATCATTACCTCTTTACATTTCTTTATTTTTGCTACAAAGCTACCAGGTCTTCCTGGATCTTACTGAGTCATAAATTAGATATTTATTTGTAGTAAATATATTTTAGGGAGAGATATCTCTTCTGGCTCTACAAAGTGGCTTTTTATTTTAAATTATAGTATGTTTTCATAGATCTGTTGATGTTTTTATTTGATTATAGTTTAGAAGCAGATCTATGCTATCCAGTCATCCATCCCTTTATCATTTGCTCTTCCTGTGGCATTTGTGTTGATCAGCATTATATTCTATAGTCTCTATTGTTTTTTAGTTATCTAATCAGACTGTATATACTGTAAAGGCCAGGTTTTGACTGTTTTCTTTCCTGCTATATCTTTGGTGCATAAAACAGACTCAGGCATATAATAGGCACTTCAATAAGTATTTGTTGAGTAAGTGGTTGGATAAGTGAATAGAATATTTACATTGTCCACCTTGAGACCTATCAGTTTGTTTAATCAATCCTCTATTAGTGGATATTTGAGTTGTTTCTGGATTTTCAGGGTTATGTGGATAATGCATCAATAAGCATCCTTGATTACTCTAGAGGACATTGTGCCTTCCTCCTTAACATCCACTCTTCCTTCTGTTGATAACCACTTTTAGAATTATTCAGTTAACCAAATATATACCAAGCAGGCCATGTTTATTACAGAATGGGAAGTCCACCCCTTGCTCTGATGGTATGCCATATAACTTAATTATAAGTTAATTAGCATAATCCAATGTGATTATTGGCTCAGAGATATGCAAATGACCAAATTCAGTTCAGGAGACATGATACAATATCTGCCAGGGGCTTCTGGGAAAGAAGCTTCCTAGATCTTCTAGCGGCAACTTAGTTATCTCTCTCTCAATACAGACAAGTATTGTCTGATCACAAGGCTTTATCCTTAGACTAAAGCTGACAGTAATGCAGAGGGCAGAGATAGAAGCCAACTGGGTCCTGGACAACATTTTTTAATTGCTGAATCAAACCATCCTTCAAGCTCTCCCTATTTGTAAGATTCCATTACTGCATTTTTAAAGACTGTAGGAATTGGATATTCTGTTCCTTGCAACTGAATGACTGCTAAATGATACACTCACATTTAAGCATTTTTTTGTTTTTATATGCCTATTTTAACAGGATAGAGTTCTAAAAGTTAAGTTGCTAGGTCAAAGACCATATAGATTTCACATTTTAATATAAATTCACAAATTGTGAAGAGTTAGATTTTAAACAAAATAAG